TATATTATTTTTGTGAAATTTATATTAATTTAATAAACAAAATTTGTTAATTAAATGATATAATTAAAGTTTGTTTTACTTTTATTTAAAAATAATATAATTTTTTTCTTAAAATAGAAAGGAGTTTGTGATTTACACTTGTATATTTTATTTATTTACTTTATTTATTATTATTGTTGTTAGAAATATAATAATTTTATTAATAAAAATATAGAAAGAAAATAATACACCTAACTACTTTTAAATATACATTTCTTAACCATTTAACATCAAACATCATTCCTTAATTATTGTATAACTAAATGTTTACATCAATAAATATTCAGTATCTACTATTTATTATTTATTTTTCACTAATCACTATCTATTACTTACTACTTTTATTTGTTACCTGCGATATGCTATACCGAACAGGCTTTAAGTGTAAGATGCAAGTTTACAACAAGAATTCTTCCCTCCCATTTTTACATTAACTTTTTTTTATACTCAATTTCAACATTAACTTCCTCATTTCTTTTTCTTTTTGCTAATTAATGTATTGAGAATTAATTTTCTTACTTAACAAAAATTTGTTAAGTCATACTTAAAAATCAATTAATGAAGAAATTTGTAATTTTGTCTTATATTTAAAAATAAGAAATTAATTTCTCCACTAAAAAAAAAAAGAAGCAAAGTAACGTTTCATTTGTAATTGCATAATAATAACAATAAAAATAAAAAAAATAAAGAAAATTATTAGTGCACCCTTTGGCTCGACACTCCTTTCAATACCTGCTTAGTTTAGTCATTAAAATATAATAACAATATAGTTGATTCAACTAATTCTTACATGCTATATAGTTGTTTCTGCATGTTGTGTGCAGAATTGCGTTTTTAAGTTTATCCATCTTTAAATTTATTCATATTTAAATTCAAATCAAGAAATAATAATTTTTAATGAATATGTTGTGCTTTTGTAATGTGTTGTTTAAATTTGTACTTATTTGTCATTTAACGCTAAATAGTATTCCATTTGTCCTAAAATAATATATGTCTTTTATTTTATTTTAAGATTAAGGATTTTGGGATAATTTCTGTTTTTACTTATTTTATCCTTAAAAAATAAATAAAAATAAAAAACTATTTTAATTTGAGGATGGATAATTAAAATTGAGGGATAACCATAAGGTTAATGTAGGAAAAAATATTTTCTTTTCTTAAAATAAAAAAGAATGACTAGTATTTTATAACAAATTTTAAATAAAAAAACATTTATTTTTCTGGGGCGAAATAAGTAATTAGTTATTACTTCCTCCACTCCGGCCAAAACCCTACTTTTAGCCACTCACCTTATTAAATTTGAAGGTTTTAGCTATTCACATTATATTATGACATTTTTAGCCCCTCACCTTACTAGATTTGTAAGTTTTAACCCCTCATCTTATACTATAACACTTTTAGCCCCTCACCTATTAAAATTAAAGAAAATAGCCCTCACTTGGTAACATTTTATTAGTTTTGCTAACTGACTGCTAATTCTGTTAGTTGATTGTTAGTTGTCAAAAACCTTCTTTCAATTAATAAAATTAATAGAACTAACTTTATAATATTTCGTTAATTCTGTTAATTAGTTATTAGTTGACTGTTAATTGATAAAAATTTACTTTCAATTAACAGAGTTAACAGTTCAATTAACAGAGTTAACAGTTAGCATAAAGTGATGGTTATTTTTTTCGATTTTAATAAGTGAGGAGTTAAAACCTACAAATCTAATAATGTGAAGGGCTAAAAGTGTCATAATATAAGATAAGGGATTAAAACCTTCAAACTTAGTAAGGTAAGGAGTTAAAAATAGGTTTTTACTGTTAAATTTAGTTGTCTCACTTTCTTCTAAACAGAGGTGATCTAATTTAGTTGTTACACTTTTCATTTTAGTAATATATTAAATACTTAATATTTCAATTTTACTCTTATCTCAAGAAAGATAGAAGGTAAAAACCCTTCTTAAGCCCCCCAAACTTACCCTAAAATAATAGTTAAGCCCTTAAACTAAAAATGAAGTAGATAAACCTTCCAATTCTACTAATGATGCAAATTAATCCTTCTCATTCATGGGTATTCATGCTTTCAAGTTGATATTAAACATGAAAGACCATTTGGCCTATTTATAAGAACGATTTATTTGCATCATTAGTGAAGTTAGAGGGTTTATCAGCTTTATTTTTAGTTTAGGGACTTAAATGTTATTTTGTGAAAAGTTTGGGAGTTTCAGAAGGGCTTCTGCCAAGATAAAAATGTATTAGGATTTTATTCATTAATTATAAGTAAAAGTGAAAATGAGAAGATGAGTCCTAATTATTATAATAAATGAATTTTTCAATACTTATAAATAGATAAAATAAAACAATTAAATCGGATGATAAAGAGTATTACATAACTAAACAATTATTAAAATTAATATTTGATATTCATTATCTATTATTTTTTCCCATCATCCAGTATGTACCACCCACTAGATTTCCACCTTTATACTAAATAAAACCCTTTGGTGAATAAATTCTTCACACATTTGACGGTGAAACGTTGAAGAAAGACGGTGCCTTCACATAAATTTTGCTCAGCGGAATTGGAAACAGAACAAATGAGAGGTTAAGAGTTTTGGGAACTGCTTGGCAGACGACAAGGACGGTACACTGTATTTTGTTATTTTCAAAGTTTTGGAATACATAACAACTAAAAAACTGAGGCTGCGTATTGTCTCCTTTGTTCATTTTTGGCAAAACTTTATCAGCAACCATATTCTCTGAATTTTTTCAGATTGAAAGTGGAGGCCAAGGGTTGAAGATGATTAGTGGTGAATTTGGTCACTGAACTATAATAGGGTTTATACTTTAATTCCTCTTTTAGTCTTTTATTTCTTTCATGTTGTTTTCCTTTTCCTTTTAGGTCATTTAAGTCCTTAAGTTTGATTAGTAACTAGGTTCATAGGTGTCTTTTTTCCTTTTTTGAAAATAGGCAATGGAAGGTTATAGGTGTCTTGAAAATGTACATGAACGACTTCCGGAGCATTCGGGTTTGTCTAGTTATTACGTCTCCGCGCTCTGGGGTTTTTGATAGTTGTAACACTCTTAGACTTCATTGGATAAATTTTTTTTTTTGGTGGTTTTATCTTTTGATTGTTATTTTTTTCAATAATTTAAAAAATATATAAAATACTAATTAAAATAAATATTAAATATATAAAATATATTTTATATATTTTTAAAATATTAAAAAAATTAAAAGACTTACTATTATAACTATAAATTAACAATGTCAAACTAATCTTTATATTCTTGCTAGGTAGGCTGTCATGCTCCAAAACCCAAATCCAAGGACATGACAGACACCGTGCACTCGTGAACAGGTCCCACGAATGCAAAAGGCTCGAAACTTATCATATCACAATCTTATACCACCAAAATATGAAGATAAAATTATAAATTTTGCTCTGATATTATAAAATCTCCCAATAAAGTCTAGCTTACAAGATCATTATTTATATCTAAATCTATGCTCAATTTACAAGATGGCTAGCCTTCTAACTCGTCACTCCCCTCGTTTTTTCCTGTTCTTGACTTCGCTTCCTAAAATGGTGGATAAGAAAAAACTATGAGATAAACTCAGTGAGTAAATATGGAGTGCCCCTTATTAAACTTATAGCATGCTAACAAGTGTAATCACAAAAAATAGATATGAGTACAGGCATGAAATAGACATCTCATCTATAGGTCATGGCCAGTGTTATAAACCACTCATTGGCAGGCGCACTATTTGCTGGTGTATAACCCCCACTAGCAGGGTCACTCGAACGAACCGATTCTATCAATAACATGTCGACATGTGCTAGCGTTTATAAACCCCCACTAGTAGGGTCACTAATAACATGACCACATCGGAGACAAAACAGGCAGACGTTAACAAAAAAAAACACCATAATTCACCAATCACTTTCAGATCATCAGGACAATCAATTAAATTTCAAGTAGGCATGCTCAATTTAATGAAAAGCATAAAAATTTCACTTCAAATAAGTCATACTTACTTTTGTATAAAACGGGTTTAGTCCCGCCACCATTTCAAAAACAAGTTAAAATATGCTTTAAAATCGAAGGGCGTTACCATAATTTACTTACCTCACTCGCATAAACCAAGAACTCAGTCCCAGTGCTCGGGTGACAGAACACTCAAGAACTTAATCAAAATATTCCAAAATTAATACCGCACTACCACAAATTCAAAGTAAAATCATCATTAGCACTTCCCCTAATCACAATGCTATTTCTATTAGTCTTTACATGATCGAACATCTCCAAATTTGTTCTTATATTACAACTAAACATTTAATGGCCAAAGCCCCTATTTGCACCCTCCATTTATTTTTTTTCCGCAGTCAACACCTTCTAAAATTTTTCCTCCCTATTTACACCCTCCACTTTTCAAAACCCGTGAAAAACCCAATATTTTAACGGGCCGTCACAGCACCGTTTATAACCGTTAAAAATTGTAATACGTGGCATCAAACAGTAAAATAATCCAATGTGGACTTTCTTTTTTGATGATATGGCATAATTAAATCATAATTAATTTTAATTTTTTCATTTTCTTCTTTCCGGCATCATCTTTACCATCTTCCTCTTCATCTTCTTGGGTTCCTCATGGAACCAAGAACCAGGAACCCAGAACTTTATGTCACATTTATTAATCTAATGTTGGACTTTTTTTTATAATGTGTTATAATTAAATCGTTATTAATTTTAATTTCTTTAATTTCTTTATTTTCTTCTTTCTCGGCATCATCTTCACCATCCTCATCCTCATCCCCCTGGGTTCCTCGCAAAACCCAGGTTCTATGTTCTTCGTGGAACCTAATTTCACAATTCGCCTACCAAGCTAAGATTTTCATCCACACAATTATAAGTAAATGAATACCGCACAAAAACATGATAAGCATCTTCTACTCTC